GGACGGCTTCCGACTTAGAGCGTTCAGCCGTTATCCGAGCGGATGGTAGCTTCGCGCCACCGGCGCACCACCGAGCGCCAGTACAAAATGTCCGAACCTACGGTTCCTCTCGTACTGGGCAGATTTTACCGTCGCGACGACCCGTCTTCATGAGGGTAAAACTAACCTGTCTCACGACGGTCTAAACCCAGCTCACGTTACCTGTTAGTGGGTGAACAATCCAACGCTTTGCGATTCTGCTTCGCAATGATAGGAAGAGCCGACATCGAAGAATCAATAAGCGACGTCGCTATGAACGCTTGGCCGCCACAAGCCAGTTATCCCTCCGGTAACTTTTCTGACACCTCTCGCGTGAGACTCTCACGCATCGAAAGGATCGATGGGCCCTCTTTCGAGGTCCCCTTCCTTACTGAAGAACGAGATCGAGCCGGCTTTTGCCCCTTTGCTCTAAGCCAGGTTTCCGTCCCGGCCGAGCCGGCCTTGGGACACCTGCGTTGCCTTTTGACAGATGTTCCGCCCCAGACAAACTGCCTGCCTGACACTGTCTTCGGAGCTCTTCCCTCCGGTCTCAATGAACGGGGTTACAGTTCACATAACACGTCGCATCCCGTAAGATGGACCACAGAGCATCACCGAATCAGTAACAAGGCGATCAAAGTAGTGGTATTTCACAGACCCGTCGCCGAAACAACTCCCACCTAGACTACGCCAATAATGCCTCGCCACAGAGTCAGACTACAGTCAAGCTCGAAAGGGTCTTCTTTCCCCGATGAATTTGCCAAGCCCGTTCCCTTGGCTGTGGTTTCGCTAGATAGTAGATAGGGACAGTGGGAATCTCGTTAATCCATTCATGCGCGTCACTAATTAGATGACGAGGCGTTTGGCTACCTTAAGAAAGTCATAGTTACTTCCGCCGTTTACCCGCGCTTCATTGAATTTCTTCACTTTGACATTCAGAGCACTGGGCAGAAATCACATTGCGTCAACACCGTTCTCCGGCCGTCGCAATGCTTTGTTTTAATTAGACAGTCGGATTCCCCTAGTCCGTGCCAGTTCTTGTTCGTTTCCACGATGTCCCGCGGCACAAGCCCCGGCTCTCGAAGGAGCGAGGCCACCCTCTTTCCTCTTCCCTCCGTCCGCGTAGGGGTCCGACCACGCCTCGGAGAGGGCGGTCAGTCCCCACGGCAGAAGCGGAAGAAATACGGCAAAAGAGGTCCGCGAGGACGGAAACACAAGAGCCAATCCTTTTCCCGAAGTTAGGGATCGAACTTGCCGACTTCCCTTACCTACATTGTTCTAGAGACTAGAGGCTGTTCACCTTGGAGACCTGCTGCGGATATGGGTACGGACCGGCACGAAAATCACACTCTCTCCCTCGGTTTTTCAAGGGCCGGCGGAGGCGCACCGGACACGGCAGCAGCGACCGTGCTCTTACGAGAACAGCGTCCCTATCTCCTCGTGACGAGATTCCAGGGACACGAGCTCTTACGAAGAAAAGTCAACTCTTCTCCGGGTCCTCCGACGGCGTCGCCGAGTTCGTTTGCGTTACCGCACTTGGGACACGGGTGCCCCTATCTCCGTGTCCGGGTAAGGGAATATTAACCCTTTTCCCATTCTCCAATACTTCTCATCTCAAATAATAGAAGTCTTAAGTATTCCATTAGGAAGTGAATCAGGACCGACTCACCCATGTTCAACTGCTGTTCACATGGAACCCTTCTCCGTGCTTCAGTCTTCGAGGTTCTCACTCGAATATTTGCTACTACCACCAAGATCTGCACCGGCGGAGGCTCCAGTCGGGTTCGCGCCCTGACCTTCTACGCGCTCCGCCGCGACCCTCCTACTCCTTTCTCCGTATCCCAAACGTTAGAGAAAGGGCCGGGTATGGGCTCGACGCTGGAGCGCCATCCATTTTCAGGACCGGTTGCTTAGGCAGGTGAGTTGTTACACACTCCTTAGCGGATGCCGACTTCCGTGGCCACCGTCCTGCTGTATAGAGCAACCGACACCTTTTATGGGGTCTCTGAGCGTCCCGCATCGGGCGCCTTAACCCGGCGTTCGGTTCATCCCGCAGCGCCAGTTCTGCTTACCAAAAGTGGCCCACGCGCCACTCTGCATCCTTACTCGGGAGGCCTCCGAATCGGGAGAGGCTCCCTTCTCGTCCGTTCGTAGTTTGAGAAGAGGTCGAGTGACACGGGCGTCCCCGAGGCGCTCTAATCATTCTCTCTACCCGGCGAGACTGCTGCCGACGAGCGACGGCTATCCTGAGGGAAACTTCGGAGGGAACCAGCTACCAGGTGGTTCGATTGGTCTTTCGCCCCTATACTCGGGTCGGACGATCGATTTGCACGTCAGAACCGCTTCGGACCTCCAGCCGAGTTTCCTCGGCCTTCGTCCTGCCCGAGAATAGTTCACCACCTATCGGGTCCCTGCCCTCGTGCTCTCGCTCCGTTCCCACTTCGGGGCACGGGCGGTCGCTGCGCCCCCCTCGAGTCAGAGGAGGGATCGCGATCTACGCTTTCGCTGCGCCTCTGGGCTTCGTAGAGTACCTTTAGACTCGCACGAGAGCAAGACTCCTTGGTCCGTGTTTCAAGACGGGTCGGGTGGGTGACCGACCTACTCGTCGCGGAACCGCAACTCCCTCCGCCCGCACGAATACATTTCCGACTTCGAGGAGTCGCCCGAAGGACCGCCCTCCACGAGGGACGAGGCGCGTCGGCGACGGACGGGCTTCAGGTGCCCGGAAGAGGCGGACGGCGGGAGGAGCTGGCCCGTGCGGGCACCGGGTCGCCCTCTCTGCATCGGGCCCCCGGGGGACGCCGACGCTCCATAAGGTGCGCGGCGGACTCACCCGGAGGCGGAGAGAAGAAGGCGACCGGCCGCGACTTCCCTAGAATCCCGCGGAGAAGTGCGTCGCTCGACAGCGACTGAGTCTCCGCGGAAGGTCGGGACTTCGAGGGCCCACCCGTTTCCCTCCGAGCAGTTTCACGTCTCTTGAACTCTCTCTTCAAAGTTCTTTGCAACTTTCCCTCACGGTACTTGTTTGCTATCGGTCTCGCGGTCGTATTTAGCCTTGGGAGGAGTCTACCTCCCGCCTTGGGGCTGCACTCCCGAGCAACCCGACTCTCCGGAGGCGCCGGCACCGCCGACGGGGCTCGAGGACACGGGCCTGGCACCCGCCACGGGAAAAGCCCCTGTCAGGGGGACTTACCTCGAACCCTGCGGCGGACCTGCGCGCACTCCTTACGCCACATTTCCCAAATTGCGCCTCTCGACGCAGGGATTCGGCGCTGGGCTCTTCCCTTTTCGCTCGCCGCTACTGGGGGAATCACTGTTGTTTTCTTTTCCTCCGCTTACTGATATGCTTAAGTTCGGCGGGTTCTCTCGTCTGATCTGAGGTCGCTTCTTATCATAGTTATCCCTTTATCTGTCTTACTCCCGGGGGTACGTTTGCGGTCGATCCCCGGGAGAGATCGTTCTCTGAGCCCACGGACGAATCCGAAGGGGCCGTTTGGTCACCTTCCGAGGAAAGAACCTCTGCATGCATCACGCGACCCTCAGACAGGCGAGGCTCCCGCAGAGGAGCGGGAGCCGCAATGTGCGTTCGAATAATCAGTGATCTGAGTGTTCTGCAATTCACACCAAATCTCGCAGCTGGCTGCGTTCTTCATCGACCCGCGAGCCGAGTGATCCACTGCTCGGAGCTGTACGATGCGACAATTTTCATCGCGTCCGCCGCACGAAGGACGCTTCGTATAGAATTTCTTCGTTTGTTTCCTCCCCCGAAGGGAAGGGGCAGTGGGGCGGTGCGCACGCGGGCGCATCTCTTCGAGCCGTGCTCGGAAATCCGAACATCCCTCCTGCCGCAAAATCGGCCGGGAACAGGCACCCCTCGACTGCCCTCCGTTCGAATCGAAAAATTTTAAGAAAAAAAATTTTTTTTTCCTTCTTCGGCGGTGGGTTCCCCAACCCCACCGCCATCCAGCTTTTTAATATATATATGCGGTGGGTGGTCCAAGTCCATTCCGCTCTCTTCCAATCTTATTAAAATTGCAAGACAATGATCCTTCCACAGGTTCACCTACGGAAACCTTGTTACGACTTTTACCTCCTCTAAGCGGCCAAGTTCGGTCATCTTCCCGGCACGTCGACTCGACCCCGGAGAGGTCGCCCGAGCGCTGGTCCGAAGACCTCACTCCACCGCTCAATCGGAGATAGCGACGGGCGGTGTGTACAAAGGGCAGTGACTTAGTCGGCACGAGTTAGTGACTCGCGCCTACTGGGAATTCCTCGTTCGAGGGGAATAATTACAATCCCCTGTCCCCAGCACTGAGAGAGACTGCTCGGGTTACCCAGGCCCGACGGCCGAGGCACCTTCGCACGTTGTCCCCTCTACTGTAGCGCACGTGCGGCCCCGGACATCTAAGGGCATCACAGACCTGCAATCGCTCTCTCTCGTACGGCTTCGAAGCCGCCGGTCCCTCTAAGAAGTTCCCCTCCATCGCGATAGGATGAAGGGCACCTATTTAATAGGCGAGAATCTCGTTCGTTTATCGGAATTAACCAGACAGGTCACCCCACGAACCAACTGCGGCCATGCACCACCATCCACGGAATCTAGAAAGAGCTGTCAATCTGTCCATCGAGCACATGTCCGGACCGGGTGAGTTGTCCCGTGTTGAGTCAAATTAAGCCGTAGGCTCCACTCCTGGTAGTGCCCCTCCGTCAATTCCTTTAAGTTCCAGCTTTGCAACCATACTTCCCCCGGAGCCTGAACTCAGGTTTCCCGGGCAAGCTGCCCGGCGCGTCACGTTCGTACGCAGCCGGATCGCTGGAGGGTATCGTTTACGGTCAGAACTACAAAGGTATCTAATCTTCTTTGAGCCTCTGACTTTCGTTCTTGGTCAATGGAAGCATTCTTGGCAAATGCCTTCGCAGTGGGTCGTCTTCCGACGGTCCAAGAATTTCACCTCTAGCGTCGGAATACGGATGCCCCCGTCTGCTCCTATCGATCATTCCCTCGGTCTCCGTCGACCTGTTCCCACGGAAACCCGGGACCGAGGGCGTCTTCCATCGTTCCGTGCATTACTATCCAGGCGGCAGGGCCTGCTCTGAGCACTCTAATTTTTGCAAAGCGATCACCGCCTTCCACCCGGGGACGACCTTTTAAAATCACCCCGCGAGGTGGCGGGCAGAATGCCCGGAAGCGCAGCGGGAGACCGCGCGAGCGGCCCCCGGCGTCCGGAGCAGAGGTCCGACTACGAGCTTTTTAACTGCAACAATTTTAGTATACGCTACCGGAGCTAAAATTACCGCAGCGGCTGGCATTAGTCTTGCCCTCCGGTAGGTCCTCGTTAGGGGGTTTAGAGCGTACTCATTCCGATCACGGGTCTCGATGAGTCCCGTATCGTTATTTTTCGTCACTACCTCCCCGAGCCGGGAGTGGGTAATTTGCGTGCCTGCTGCCTTCCTTAGATGTGGTAGCCGTCTCTCAGGCTCCCTCTCCGGAATCGAACCCTGATTCCCCGTCACCCGTGGCGACCACGGTAGGCGCATGACCTACCGTCGACAGTTGATAGGGCAGACACTTGAAAGATGCGTCGCCGGGACGGGCCCGTGCGATCTGCCAAAGTTACTCAGCTTCGGTTCACGTTTCCGATCCCCACCCCGAGAGGAGGGGCCGGTCACAATCTAATAAAAGCGCTCGTCCCCCGGAGGGTCGGAGCTCGGCTGCATGTATTAGCTCTAGAATTGCCACAGTTATCCAAGTAACGCGTCAGGTACGATCCAAGGAACCATAACTGATTTAATGAGCCATTCGCGGTTTCGCCTTAATACGGCATGTACTTAGACATGCATGGCTTAATCTTTGAGACAAGCATATGCTACTGGCAGGATCAACCAGGTATCCTTCCATTTCGTTTCGTCGAACGGCGAGCGGAACAGTCCGCACGCCGCCGGCCTTACACTTCGGTTCACCATCCACAATTTCGACGTGCGCAAGGGAACGCAGTCTGAAGCGTTCGCTTCCGTAGATTTCGAAAGAGCCGTCGGCCATCGTGAGGATCAGGCCGGCTCCGTGGCAGAGCAAATGCGAGACTCGCCGGAGCCTCCGGAGAGGCCGGGCGAGCCGAGCAGAGAGACAGGTTGTGTCCCGCCGAAGCGGGAGATACACGGTCCCGGCGTACCCAGCACGGGACCAATCAGAGACGGGTCACCCCATCGGAAGCAACCGCCGGTCCGCAGAGCTCGACGAAACTAGGACGACGGCGCCTCCCGCCCGACAACATGGACACGTTGCAGGCTTCGCACGCGACGTCGTCGTCGTTCCGCCTCGCTCCGCAGTCGACGGCAGTCGCCTCGACGAGAGGCAACACCGCAGTCCGGGACGATCCGCTTGAATGCAGTTCCGCGACGATCCACTTCTCCGCGACCATCTGATGGAATTCACCGCGACCGCACACTCTTCCGTCAATCTCCTACGGTCCTCTTCCGTCAATCTCCTACGGTCCTCTTCCGTCAGGTCCCCTTCCTTCCGTCCGGGCCGGGGGCAGGTCCTCTTCCGTCCACTGACAGGCTTCTCCTCGGGGATCCGTCCAACGCGTTCCTCCGCCGGACCCTAACCTACGACGCGGCTGGCCAGAGAGAAAATCCTTCGGCAGCCTCCTGGGAGGCACCATTCTAGAGGCTGGTCACCCCATCGGAAGCAACCGCCGGCCCGCAGAGCTCCACCGTATTCCGACGACGGCACCTCCCGCCCGACAACATGGACACGTTGCAGGCTTCGCACGCGACGTCGTCGTCGTTCCGGTCCGCTCCGCAGTCGACGGCAGTCGCCTCGACGAGAGGCAACATCGTGGTCCCGCCGAAGCGGGAGATACACGGTCCCGGCGAACCCAGCACGGGACCAATCAGAGACGGGTCACCCCATCGGAAGCAACCGCCGGTCCGCAGAGCTCGACGAAACTAGGACGACGGCGCCTCCCGCCCGACAACATGGACACGTTGCAGGCTTCGCACGCGACGTCGTCGTCGTTCCGGTCCGCTCCGCAGTCGACGGCAGTCGCCTCGACGAGAGGCAACATCGTGGTCCCGCCGAAGCGGGAGATACACGGTCCCGGCGAACCCAGCACGGGACGATATAAATACGATCATCCCGGCTATCAGAGCACGGGACAATCACACATGCCCCTTCCGAAGCGACCGCATCGCTCACCGAATTCCGACGCGAATAAAACCTGCCCCGTTCCAGGCTTCGCTCGCGACGTCGTTACGGTTCGCTCAGCAGTCGACCTCCTCGGAGGCGGTCCCGGCCGACAAAGCACGGCACGGGACTACTCGGGCCCCTGCCCGAGGGGGGTGACGTAGGCAGATCCGCAGAGCTCGCCGAATCCAGACGTCACCTCGCAACCTGGGCACGTTGAGAGGTTTCGCACGCGATCCGGTTCGTTCATTGGAAACCAGTCCACCACATCAGGAGACTCAGATCCAACCCACTCGAGTGGTGTTTCGATCATGACTCTCAGACCTGTCATCATCAGACAGGTCCTCCCCATATAGGGTATCGACCTGTCCAGATATCTTGGAAACGATTTCGATCTGCGGTCCTCCGCGGCACCGGGCGTCCGGGGGAGGAGGGGAGGGGAGAGAATCCTGCCCCACTTCTTTACCTCGAAATCGTGGGAACACCGGAATCCGAGTACGGAAAACGTCGCGCCCCGAAGGGCTCCGGGCGACGACAGCACCACCGCCCGACCTCGGCGGCGGGGTGTCGTGACCGCGATTCCGCCGGGGCACCACTCTTCCGGTTCCTTCGCAGGTACGGAGAGAGCTGTGCGTCGTCGGAACGAAGAGACCGCGAACCCGCCGCCTGGACCGGACCGGCGAGTGGTCGTGACCCCGGCTCCGCCGGAGCACCACCTCTCCCGTTACGACGCAACACCACTCTCGAGAGGCACGGAGAGAGTGGTGCGTCGTCGGAACGAAGAGACCGCGAACCCGCCGCCTGGACCGGACCGGCGAGTGGTCGTGACCCCGGCTCCGCCGGAGCACCACCTCTCCCGTTCCGACGCAACACCACTCTCGAGAGGCACGGAGAGAGTGGTGCGTCGTCGGAACGAAGAGACCGCGAACCCGCCGTTGCAAAATCAACGGCGAGCTGTCGTGACTCCGACTCCGCCGGAGCACGACGCGTTCCGTTTCGCTCCGAGGCACCGGCCCGAGGGGTGCCCCGGCGGAACGCAGGGACCGCGAGCACGCCGCCGGGTCCCGGGAGGGCCACCTCGCGTTATACCAAAACGCGAGAAGGAAGCTCGAGAGCGCTCATCCGAGGACCGTCGACATCATTCGTGCACTCGCACCCCGCCCCGAGAGCGAGAGGAGAGCTCCTGTCGAACCTCGGAAGTGCAGCTCGATCGAGCACACACCTCCCCCTATATAGGGCAACTGGCGTGCCAGCTATCTTGGAAACGTTCTTCGTCTCCGGTGCGCTGCGGCATGATGCTTGCCGACGGGGAGGGGAGGGGACAGAATCTCGTGCAGTTTCTTAGGCAAAATGTGGGACCAAAAATTCATTTTTCGAGAAAAAATGGAAATTTCCAAAGAACTCTCGACAGACCTCGCGCTACTTCGTTTTCGGGACCACTCGCCGAATTTCGGGGTCCTGGGACCCTTTTTCGGGGAGTTGATTTCGGGGGTCCCGAAACTTCAAAAATTCGTAACTCGGGAACCGAAGGGAATTTCCGCTCGAAACCGGTACCGCGGAAGGGGACCGGGGATCTCCTTCTCCCGTTTCGATCTCGGAGCCCTGCCTCCAAGGGGTCCCCTGGGGGTCCCTTCCGAAAAACGTTTTTTTTCTGCCCTTTTCGCCCCTAAATCCTAAACCGGAGCCTCCGAGGACTTCTTTCTGGTACGGATCGAAAGGCCAGGTCGCGGGCCTCCCGAAAAATTTTTTTTTAAAAAATTGGCTCCTGCGGGGGCCCCGTGGGGGGGGACCCTAGCTGTACCTTGCGCGGCTTCCCGAGGCCCCCCGATCGTCGTGGAGTCTCGAAAAAAATTGTGCCGGTGCGTCGCGACGAGGCGCACCTCGTATCGGAGTCTCGTAATTTTGGAACCAACGGGGGCCCCTGCAGACGCCGGGCCCCGAGACGACACGACGCCCTTTCCGGAAGGAGAACCCGCCGTTCGATTTCGATGGGGAAGATGTCGATAGACGCGTCTCGACGGGTTCTACCTCGGTACCCAATTCGGAGGCGATCGGACTCCTTTCGGGGGCTCCCGGGCCCGAAAAGAAAATTTTTGAGGGCCCCGGAAGGGAACGCAAAAAGAAGTTACGGTCCGATTTCGTCGATCGACCCGTCCAAATGTGCGTATTCGAGAGCTCTTTCGTTTAAAATTAAGTTTGAGTCGCTAGCCCTCTCCGTTCGCGAGTTATTCGAAAACGTTGCGTTTCGAACCCGGGACTTTGAAATTTTCGCGAAATTTCGAAATTCGCGAATAAAAAAAAAAGTTTTCAATTTATTTCTACGAAAGGCACCTCCGTCGATGCGTGTCGACGCGGTCTATCTTTTCGTACCCGATTCACAAAATTGGACCCTTTTTTCCGGGAGTTATTCGAAAACGTTGCGTTTCGAACCCGGGACTTTGAAATTTTCGCGACATTTCGAAAAACCTCCTCCGCCTATAAAACGCGAACCGAACGAGTCACGAGCTCGAATCTTCGCAGGCGGGTAGGTCCCGTCGAGAGGAACCCGAAAATACGAGATTCGGGATCCTGGCCCCGAATCCGGGCCCGCTACGAGGTGGGCCCCGAAAACGCTCCCGGGCCCCCAGATCGCGAACGGGCGTCCCGGGACGCACGAGAGATTTATCTCGGGTAGAACTCGACGCCGACCGCTTCCCCAGCGATTTTCGGAGCCCTGCCCGCAACGGGGGCCCCGTGGAAAAGGGGGCCCGAGGTCGCCTTCGGGAGGCCGGGGACCCGAAAATGGACGGAATTTCGGAATTCCGATTTCGGATTCGAGCTCGTCTCGCCGAGACGGACCGGAATCTGGATTTCCGGGAAGATCCCGCGAGCGGTTCCGAAATTAAGAGCGGGAGAAGGTGTTTTTTTTTTATTTTCCGGGACCGGAAACCGCGGTTTTTCCGCCCTGTCCGGAGAACCGTTCCGAATGGGGAAAAGAGGACGACGTGCCGGGACGGCCCCGGAGGTGCCGCGTCGGAAGAGCTCCTTTCCGGTTCCGGGAGTCGACCGCAGCGCCCCCTGCGTCCGTTTTTCCCGTTTTTTTCCCATTTTTCCCGGAGGGCGAACCCGCGGGATTTCCGTTTTTTCGACCCCGGGGTCGAGCGGGGGACCGCCCGAGGAGTCCTCGGAAAAAAACTCGGGGTCCCGGCGGGTCGTTTTCGTCGTTTCGGAGAGTGCGGAAATCGAAAGAAAAAAAAATTTTCGAATTTCTCCGGAGCGGTCCGAAAAAAAAAATTTTCGATCTAAAATTAAGAAAAAAACCTCCTTTTCATCGCCTCTCCGAGTTCTTTCCGAATCTGCAAAATTTATTGGCTTGAGACTCTTAGGTAAAAAGTTGTGTCCTCGGAAAGGGTCATTTTCCTCAGGAAAATTCGAAAAAATTCATTTTTTTCAAAAATCAATAAAAAAAAAGTTTCGTAGATACAGGAAAACTCAACATATATTTTTTCCTCGCCTCGAACAGCCTTTCAGAATCTTTAAAGTTTACGTTCTTGGATCTAATAGTTAAAAAGTTGTGTCCTCGGAAATGGTCATTTTTCTCACGTAAAATTCGAAAAATTTATTTTTTTTCAAACCTGAATAAAAAAAAAGTTTCAGAGATACAGGAAAACGTAACATATATTTTTTTCTCGCCTCGAACAGCCCTTTCAGAATCTGCAAAGTT